CAGCCTGATTATCCCCCCAGGACACAGCCTGCTCTCCCCCCAGGACACAGCCTGCTCCCCCACTGAACCCATGGGGATTTAAGATGCAATTCACTGCTGGGCACTTCTGGAGGACAGCAGACTGACACGGGATGGAGGGATGTGAATTTACAGTGAGGGGAAGTGGGAACAAATTTCACATCTATTTCTTGGAACAGAGGGAAGTTGGAATGTTGGATTGGCACATCGTGGGCTGAAGGACACAACCAGGGAAGATGCCATCTTCTAGTAATGCTACTCTTCCAGTAGCCAGGCAGCAGTCACTGAAAGCATCCTGCAGCCACTGCACCACGCAGCAACCTCAGATCGAGTCATCAGAACTGAGGCTGTTCTAAGGCTTCAAAAGCACCTAAATTCTTTAACAATAAAAACCCCATTCTTTTGCAATAAAACACCTAGCCACTGCTTAGTAAAATCCATGGATGCCCTCAGGTCCACCTCAGCTCTCCTGAGCAAAGGGCAGGACGAGCCTGGGTGGCCAAGGATGCTGGAACAGGGTCTGAACCACACACAGGGAGACAACACAGGTTTGGATGCTGAAAGCTGGAATGACAAGAGAAACCTGTGCTGAGGTGACCCCTTGAAAAGAACCCACTGCCCTGGGGGTGGAGGGGGCCAGGGCTGCAGCACAGCCAGAGCCAACGGGGCCTTCACCGGGGCTGGGGTGCTGCTCCCTGCTCAGCCCTGACTGCACCTGCAGCACATCCCAGAACCAGCATGGCCTTTCCTAAGGACTCACCTCTCCTCCTAAGGGCATGTTTTCCTATCCAGCACCTCTATCACCTGCAGCCTGCTGGAAGCTCTGGGTCTGCCCTGCCATGGGCAGAGGTCACAGTGCTCAGCGGGGCACATCAGCTGTGCAGTGCAGGGGAGAAGGACCATCCCCCTCAGGGTCCTCCTCCTTCCCCATGGCAGGCAGCTGATGACTCACTTAAATGAGGAAGCTAATGTCTAAGCTAGTTTAGATTAATCCTGCCCTTTGAACCAGCCCTGAGGCTGCCAGGGAAGGCCAGCACTGACAACAAGTGCCCCAGGGAGCCATCGCTGCTCCTACAGCTCTACAGAAAAGAAAATGGCATGAGACAACACGGAGGGGGGCAGGGTCAGCAAACTGCAGCTGAGCAGTGAAACAAGCCTGATGTCACTTGTGGAGACCCAGTCTCCTCTCTCAGCAGCAGGAGCACTGGGCTCTGGGCCCCTCCTCGCAGCTTTGCCTCTGCTGAGCATCCCAACCCACATCCACCTGGGTACCACATCCCTGCCTGATCAGAACCTGCACTCCTGTGCTGCACAAACCCCACGAGCTCCCAGGAGGATTTTCAGCCAGGCCAGCTCCTGACCCATCTGCACCTCCCAGCCTTTGCTCCAGCTCCATGGGCTCTGCACAGCAGTCAGCTCCCAGGACAGGGAGCAGTGCCAGTGGTGACAGCAGTGCCAGTGCTGATGGCAACAAGGGATCTCCCTGCTGACAGCCTGACCTAAATCCTCCC